CCGTGGAACGCAATTCCCCGTGAAAGCTCGTCGGGCGACCAGTAAGCAAGACTCGTGAATCGTAACTCGTAACTCGTAACTCGTGATTCATCGTGCTTACTCGTGCGTGGCAATCGTGACAAACAAAACGGAAATCCTTTTTAACACGGCCCAGACAAATATCGAGATTATTCTCTCTACCCTCCTCCCACGAGACGCGCGTATCCCTGTTTCGACGCACCGGGGGATGATTATCCGGTGAATTCTAGTGAGTTTGCGGAACAATCGAAGATACGAAGCGAGGGCGAGGGCGAGGAGGAAACCGAGCGTACTTCGCCTTATCTTAGAAATCGTCGCGTCGTGCTTCCTTCCTTCGCACGGAAAATAACAATAATAATAATGATAACGATAATTGTTTTTTTTTTTTCCTTTTTTCTTTCTTTCTTTTCTTCTATCCAAGAAGCAAAGCGCATCGAGGAGCGGACCGAGTTCGTTCAACTCGGCGAAAGATCGACGTCGGACGTGGTAGACACGCACGCGAGTTAAGAGCACCGCGAAACGAAGATTCCGTCCATTTTCCCTGTATCGTGGATAGTCGTTATTATCATAGGAGAGAAGAAGAAGAAGAAGAGAGAGAGAGAGAGAGAAGAGAGAGAGAGAGGAGAAGGTAGGTGTAGCGGTAGCGATAGGAAAGACGAAAGAAGGAAGGGTAAGGAGGGGGGGGGGAGGAGGAGGAGAGAGAGAGTGAGGATAAGGGTGGTGTAGAAAGGTCGGAACAGGGAGGCTGGCGGGATGTTCAAAGTGGGATGGTGAACGGTTCTCGGTGCGTTGGAGTGGGACAGGGTCGAACTCATGGACGAACGAGCCGACGGATAGGATGGCTGGCGCCTGTAGTCAGATCGATGCACGTGGCTCCAGCTGGGCGCCGCTCTTCGTACATCTCCTACTACACACCCCCCCTTTATTCCCTCTTAACTCTCCTCATCCTGCCGCACTACACTATTCCCCGTTCTAGGATACAAAATCAAGGTGTGTTACTTCGTCTTTTCTTCCCCCTCGCCTTTTACCTCGCCAAATCTACCCTTCTTCCTTTTCTTCTCTTTCCTATTATATTCTTTCCTTTATCTCTCTCTCTCTC